CTGTCGGGGCGCGTGTCGATTTCGCGGAATATGTGGTGCAGGGCGCGCGGAATGACGCCGCGGTGGTGGTAGCTGCGCGCGTCCCCGCACATCGTGAACGTCTTGCCGGCGCCCGTCTGCAGCGACGCGGCGAATGGTTACGCTGTCGGCAACAAACCAGCTGCTGTTGCTGTGAAGCTTTTATGCATGCGTGCCACTCTTCATTCTGCCAGCAGCGGGATCGGCAAGCTTCGCTTTCGTGCGCTTCATCTGCCACGCCTTGCACAAAGCTTACAGCGGCCCCTGCCTATCACCTGGCCGTAGCAGAACACGGTGGCGTTGAATCCCTGCAGCACTGCATCCACCGCCTCGCTTGCCGCCGCCTCGTAAACTGCGTCCTGGCTCACATTCTCAAGTACTCCGTCAAACTGTGGCCAAGGTCAGTGGGACCAGAATTGACAGGACGGATAGGGGGAGGGTTGGGGAAGTCAGGTCAGAGGAACGTGGCGCCTCCCGGTTTGGGCCTTTCCGGCCTGCTGCGCGCAGGACGTGCAGGTGCATGCGTGCTTGCGCGTACAGGGCGGGGTCGCCTGCAGAACCCGCCGCTTGCCTTGAAAGTGAGGCTCTCCAGCTGATTGTTTATGAGCCCTGACGCCTCCTCTTTGGGGAAGTTGACGGTCACGCTCTCACCATCCTTGTGCACCCTGAAGGACATACAGGGGCGCGCAGCGACAGCACATCGCACGCAGCAGCGACGGTGGGTGCATACAGCAGCCTAATGAACACCGTTCTTTCTTGCAGTGTGCGCACCACGGCCACCGCCAACCTCCCCTTCACCACCGCCCATCCCCCCCCCCACTGCCACCGCCACCACGTACTGCCACGACCACCACCATCACCCCTACCGCCGCCGCCCTGCCCACTGCCACCGCCACTGCCACCACACCCATCAACACACATGGCTGCCCCTGCACATGGCGCCCATGCGTAGCATGCATCAACTCGGCGCACTTGAAGCCTTCGTAGGGACGTGCAGTCGGCCGCATGCGCACGAAGACCTTGACATGTGAACGGCGCGTTGCCATCGTTGCAGGCGCACGTGCTGCTGCACGTCAAGTGCTGCCGCAGGGGCGCCAGACGCCGAGAGGCCTGAAATTGAACAGATTACGGTGTAAAGTGTTTGTAAACGAGTTTCTTTTGGCGCAGGGGGTCTGACCAGCGGTCAAGCTTCAAAGCAGGCGATCTGGGCTTCCAGAGGCAAAGTATGTGTTATCAAAGCGTTCGAACTTTCTGCGTGGCTGTATATCATACCGTACCGGTAACATGTGTGTGGCATTTGAAGGTGACGGCAGATTGCACAGTTGCAGCAGGTGCATTGAACCGATGCCATCGGATGGACCGGTGTCCCAGCCTGGACACGTTACCTGGGCTCATTGATCATGACCCTCAACATCCACCGCCCACATCGAATACGTCTATTTGTCGGCGCACTCCTCTAGAGCGCGCAAGCCTGTCCCTCATAGATCAGAGCTGTCGTGGCATGCTCTATCGCTTAATTACTTTTCACGAACAATAATATCGCGGACACCCGTGTGCTTTGTGATCGGGACGCCGTCTGTGCTCGTGGTTGGTTGCCCGCCGGGCGATCGCAGCGAAGGCCAGCCGTTGGCCATATCGACCATACGCAGTCACGAATGCGATGAAGTAGGGCTGAGCCGCAGCCTTGGAAGCGGTGCAGCCGGGGCCGCACAGCATGGCGGCCCAGAAGCGCGCCCCGCCGGGCGGGCTCGGCGACGTGCACGTCAAGAGCCCACGCATGCGTGGCGCGGCGCTGGCAGTGGTGCTCGCATCGGCGGCGCTCATGCTGTACATGCTGGTGCTGCTGGGACGGCCGTTGTACTGGCGGCTGTACGCTGACGTGATCCACCGCTATGAGAGCGACGCGGCTCAGCAGCTCATTGTTGAGCTGCAAAAGACAGGTGCGACGCCCCCCCCCCTTGGGCGACCCTCACGGGCTGCGGAAAGCCAGCGGCCAGCTGGTTGGAGCCCATGCTCAATGCAGCGCAGCGAGCGCGCATGCGAAAGCTGGGAATTTACTGGTTCAGCATCAAAGCTTTTCTCATCATCGCCATCAAGAGCAGCACTCAGTGGATTGCAGAATTCTCACTGTTTTGTGCATACACAACCACGATCTGCGGCTGCACGCGCGCGCATCTAACAGACACAGAGTATTCTCCGCAACTGGACACACTGGGCGGGCGCAAAGCGCTGCCGGACACAATTAGAGCAGGGGTGCATCATGGTGGCGACCAGCAGCTCGCGCCAGCATCACAACAGCAGCAGCCGCAGCAGCCGCAGCCGCAGCAGGACCAGGCATCCTCTGCAATGCAGCAGCATTCGCCAGCCCAAACTTTTCCGACGACTTCACCGGTACAGGAGCAGCAGCAGCAGCAGCAGCAGCTGCCGCAGAACCAAACTTCGTTATCACCAGACTCGACAGGTTTGCACCAGCAGCAGCAGCAGCGCCAGAAGCACCACTCACCTCAGCAGCAGCAGCAGCAGCAGCAGCGGCCCGTGGGCAGCGCCGCCCCAGGCGCAACCGCAGCTCCAATCAGCAGCATCGGCACGGCCCCGAGCGCAGTAGCGCCGCCGCGCCCCGGCCCTGCGCTGACGGCGCAGGAGATCGAGGCTCAGCGCGCCAAGGCACGCGAGAAGCAGTGGGAGGACGAGTGGTGGGGCCAGTACCAGAAGGCGGAGACTGCACGCAAGGCGCGGCAGGAGAAGGAGACGAAGGAGCGGGAGGCGATGCTGGTCAAGAAGTTCAACCACACACTATCAAGGTGACAGGGGGGAGAAAGGGGGCGTCGAGGGTGCGGGGCAGCACGTGCGAGCGCCGGGCCTGGCAGCAGCCGGGATGCTTGGGAGCCGAGGCGGCCGCCGTCGCAGGCTGCACTCGGCCGGCGGCGAAGCGGTGCGCGTCCTTGGCGTGCGCCGCAAAGCGCGCCCCTGGTGGTGGTCTCCCTCGTGCTGGCGCTCCCAGGGAGCTGGTCCAGTCTCTGGCTGAGGACGGCTACCTGGTGGTCACATGGGCCAACCACCACTACACGGACTTCGCCCTCACATGGGTCTACCACGTGCAGCAGGTGCGGGCAAAAGCGTGGCAGCCGGGCCGCAGCATAGTGCTGGGCCGGCGGGCACAGAGCAGCCGCAGGGGGACGGCCGCTGCGGGGTTCATACCATAGAGGTTCATCGCTTGTTAAGCAACGCTGTGACCGGCAAGAGCAAATCGTCTAGTGCCCCGCCTGACTCCCCTCCCCCTGGCATCCCTCACTCCCTCCACTCATCCCCCCCAAAGGTTGGCATCAAGGGCTACATGGTTGGGGCCATGGACGAGGCCATCCTCATAACACTGGCAAAGAGGAAGATCCCCACCTTCAGCATGGCGGCAGGTGTGCAGACAGGGTGCATAGGGCGGCAGCATGTGCTCGCGTTGGTCAGAACTTGAACGAGCCATCCCCAGGACGCTGCATTTGCAATGGTGGCGAGCGAAGCTCATCGACTTTGGGATGAGTGGAATGTCACCGCGGGCATTGTTTGTGGCGCGCCGCAGGGCTGACGACCGGCGACTTTGGCTGGGGCAGCAAGACGTTTGCCAAGATGGGGCGCAAGAAGATCAACCTTATTGCGCAGTTCCTGGAGCTCGGCGTCAACGTGAGCCTCCGCGGGGGCAGAGGGGAGAAGGAGAGGGGCAGGGCCGGGGCTTGCTGCGCGTGTCACAAGGCGGAGGCGACCGACAACGAATCCACCCTCATAGCCCAAGCTGGGCAATTGGCAGGAGTGCGGTGGGGCCTGCTGCAAGGACTAGACTGTCTGGGGTCTACTGGTAAGGCCCACCATATTCCCACAGCACTTGAGGCACACGCGCGCGACAACGCCCCCCTCCCACCCCGCCCGGGGCCCCCAGGTGGTGATATCGGACGTGGACGTGCTGTGGCTGCGCAACCCCCTGCCCTTCTTCCAGCGCTTCCCCGGCGCCGACATCCTCACGTCCACTGACCACCTGTCCAGCACGGTGGGCGCGGCCGAGGAGCTGGAGCGGTACCCAGAGGCCGGCAGCGCCTTCAACATCGGCATCATGCTGTTCAGGCAGAGGAGCGCAAAATTCGTGGAGCAGTGGATCGAGGTGCGCGAGCGCGAGGGAGGGGCGGGAAAGGGGGAGGGGGGCGCCTGGACGACTCGACCCTGTTTTTGAATCGACTGGGGAGCCGTACCGAGGAGGGTGGCCGCAGTGGATGACGCGGTTTTGATCCGGTGGACAGCCAGGCGAGGGCTAGCCCGCGTGCGGCACGGCCGCCTCAGGTGCCTGCTGCTGCCCGAATCAGCCGGCGCCGACGCCTTCGCTTGCTGGCCCGGCCCGCCGTTGGCCAGGTGATCGAGGCCGACGACACCATCTGGGACCAGAACGCCTTCAACGACCTCATACGCGCGTGGGTGACACCACGCCGCCGCCGCCGCTGCCGCCGACGCAGCTAGGCCCTTGTGGCGCGTAGGCTCCACCCGATTCGCTTCGCCTTTGTACGCCAGGAGCCAGCCCTGTCCGCACGCTGTAGCCCTTACTCGAACGCTGCAGCCCTGGCAACCTGCCTTGCTGCCCACCCTCCGCCCCTCCCATAACCTGCGCCTGTCCGCGCTCTGGCCCCACCCCGCAGCGGCCAGGTCATCCAGGAGGACGACCCCCACCACTACTTCAGGGGTGACAACAACTCACTCACGGTGCGGGCCCTGATGGCGTGAGGCAGCGGGGCCTGCTGGGCGATGAAGATTGGGCCTGCAGCCGGAGGCGTCAGGCAAGGGGCTGGCGTGGCTGGGGGCGACCCTGCAGGTTCTGCGTGTGCATCCTGTCTCTTGCCAATGCTGTAAAGATCACGTATCTTCAAGAGCGCCCCCACCATTGCACAAAATCGAGGCAACCGCCTTGCGAACCACAGCGGTCAACGGCAACGCGTCCAGCGATGCCATGAAAACTGTTGCTACCCTCTCGGCTCCCTCATCCGTCGCACCCTGCCTGCCGCCTGACCCCCTTTCCCGTCCCCCCCCCAAAGGTGGGTGTCCTGCCCGTGGCGTTCTTCTGCAGCGGCCACGTGTACTTCACGCAGGCCATGTACCGCACCCTGGGCATCAAGCCCTACGCGGTGCACGCCACGTTCCAGTTCAGCGGCACGCCGGGGAAGCGCCACCGCTTCCGGGAGGCGGGCCTCTGGCTGGAGGACTACACCTACTACCACCACCCGGGTGCGCGCGTGTGCGCGTGTGTGCCCATGTGTCGTGAGTGTATCTGCATGTGTGTAAATGTCCCTGCATGTGTGTAAATGTCCCTGCTTGTGTGCGAAAGTCCCTGCATGTGTGTGTGAGAGAGTGTGTGGTGACGGGGTGATTTAGGGGCCGGCGCGCCTTTTAGGGTGCAGGCCGCTGTGAGGGATGCAGCGGCAGGGGAGGTTCGGGGCCCTGGGCAAATGCGGCGCCGCGCCCCAGGCAGGGGCTATGGTTCGATGTCGTTCATGCAGGCACCCATGGGATTGTGTACCCCAAAATTACACCCCTTCTCTGAGGCCTCACCGCCACCCCGCGCAAACCCCCCTCAAC